TCCTGGTAACGACACATAAGGCTACGCTGTAATGAACGTTTATTTAATTACCAATGGCTGCCATACGCATTTTGTTCCTCTTTGTAATTATGACCGTTAAGGTCACCGGAAGAAGGAATGCTTTCTCACACTAATTCTACAACAATGGTGACATAGTTAAATGTAGTGTTGAAATATGGTACATATAATCTACGCAACGGGTATACTAACACAAAGGTGGAGTGCTGTGTCCTGCCACTAGCATACGTCTCATGATATACAATAATGCCCGATAGTTGGATTGCTCCAACAATTAAACATAATTTGCTTTAGTGATACCCCGATTTACGCTCTCGTTTGACGTACTCTCGCTATAACGTACTCAACTTATTGATACCCAATTATATTACTGGTAGGAACCTCCTGGTTACACCACCAGCCCACAGGGGATTATTGTGTCCGTCCGTCGTGCATACAAAAATGGGAGGGGTGGGGCTGGGTGGAGAGGGGAGGGTGGGGAGGGAGGGGCTGGGTGAGGAGAGTGGGGCTGGGTGAGGAGGGTGGGGCTGGGTGGGGAGGGTGGGGAGGGTGAGACTGGGTGGGTGGGCAGGGGCTGGGTGGGGAGGGGCTGGGTGGGGAGGGTGGGGAGGGGTGGGGCTGGGTGGGGAGGGGTGGGGCTGGGTGGGGGGTGGGAGGGGTGGGGAGGGGCTGGGCACCACGTGGTGTATTCCGCAAATATGCCCGACTGTGAGGGCGGGCACAAGCCGGCGTGAGTAGGTTAAACGTTTAGTTTTATAAGGGCACCACGGGGTGACCAGCCCCTCCCCACCCCTCCCACCCCCCACCCAGCCCCAACCTCCCCACCCTCCCCTCCCCACCCAGCCCCTCCCCACCCAGCCCCTCCCCACCCAGCCCCTCCCCACCCTCCCCTCTCCACCCAGCCCCACCCCTCCCATTTTTGGATGCACGACGGACGGACACAACAATCACCTGTGGGCTGGTGGTGTAACCAGAGGTTCCTACCAGTAAGAACCTATCCATGTCTCCTGGCATCGTGCCCCGCGCCTTTATAACTGCCGTCATTACTCCCATTCTGACGAAACACGCTCTGGTTTTCTCTGAGTGCTCTGGTTTACTCACCACAGGTATAAACGCTCACAAATTGAATGTAATCATCTTAATACTGTACATAGTAAATTGCAGATACATTGTTGGCACCGGTCCACCGCCAGTTAGCCTTCCATCTTGTCTGTCGTTGCTCAGTGATTCTGAGATTCAATTTGCTTGAACGATGCTATATAAAACGAATCTTCCTCCACCCTGTCTAACTACTGCCACATTTCCAGCCTACATTTCCTCTCCAACCTTCTGGAGCATGTGGTCTCTTCTCAACTCTGTTGCCCACCTCTCACACCACTCTCTCTTTTGAGCTCCTTGAGTCCGCTTTGTACCCTGCCCATAGCACCAGAAGTGCCCCCTTGTATGTGTATCCACGGTTATCATATTGTGGGGAGCGGTAGTGTAGCGGTTAGCGCACCGTGCGGCAAACCCGGCGAACCAAGTTCGATTCCCGCTCACGGCCAAAACCAGTGACGATTATCTGAACCGGTCCTGGGCCTTGCCTAGGTCAACTCAGCCTCAAATGAGTACCTGGTGTTAATAGGGAGACAAAGGCGGTCGGGCGTAGTGTGGCCACTCACCTCGTGTACCTTGCGCGTCTTCATAGGTGCTCACTTACAGCACTTACCCCAACAATCTGTTCAGGCTATACGAGGGAGTCTTTGTCTTTATGTTTATCATAATGTAACTGCAATCTCATGAATGCACAATACATTGTTATTTATTATACATTTGAAAGTACGGGAGTAAAAGCAAACCATAATCATCAGTGATTAACCAGTCATTTAAACCCAGCAAGGAATTGGACATGCAATACATTGGTATAATTACAGTATTCCACACCTATTAAATACAACTTATATTCAAGCAAAAATTCAATGTTTTATAACCTGGTGAAAGATCAATTGGATACATTTGTGATAGGTAGCCCTAAGGGGCCGTCCATAAATGACGTCACGCACCTGGGGGAGGTCAGATATTTGTGACGATGTGTGACGAGGGGGGGGGGCTGATAAATGTGACGTCACATCAAAATGCGCAACTTTAAATAAATATAGACAACACGTTCTACTTAATTAGACTTTTTAATAAATGTTTTCTCCTTCAACATCAGAGTGCAACGCCACAATGACAATAGTTTAAAGCGATTTGAAGCATGTTTTATTTTCAAAATGGAAATATGGATTGGGGGAGGGGCAGAGCTTTGTGACGGGGGGGTCTGACTTTTTGTGACGCCGTGTGATGAGGGGGGGGGGGCAAAATGCGTCCAAAATCGCGTGACGTCATTTATGGACGGCCCCTAAGTTAAACACATGTCAAAATAACATTGGGATTTATTATAATTTGGTATATATGTTTTATTGCAAAAAGAGAACGATTTGAATAGCATTGTGTTGAACTGTGAAGCTATATGGCGATAGAGAACCTTGACGGGTTGTCAAAAAAACAATAGGAAGAAACCTCAAATACAAGGCCCCTTCAAGGTCAGTCCTTGAACCCCATCAAGGCCCACGTGTGCTTCCTTACCAACTAACTGTTGCAGCAGTTAGTAAATCCGGGTTCGTTTGAATGGAGGTTGGCAAACGTGAAAAGGTGCATTGTGGTGGATAGCGAGGATTGGAGTTTGATCATCCCTACTTTGAGTCAATAACAATATAAATAACAATAGCATATCCAACGTCACATTTGCGTTATGGGAGCCACCATTCTGAAGGTCCATTATATTCTGGTGTCGCGCCCATGTCGATGTTTTGCCCAAGCCCCGAATAAACTACAATTCGGTTAGAAACACAACATATGTGTCCATAACTCTGTGGCCTTAAAGTAAAATAATATACATGGATGATATAATAGGCGACATTTCGGGCAAATGGCCCTTATTCATAAAACATGGAGAAGGGTCATTTCCCCGGGAGAGTCATTGGCTGGGCTATGAAGAAGGGTCATTGCCTGAAACGTCACCTTTTAAGGTCACAGTGTTATTGACGAATCTGAGTTTTACGGTTTTTGTCCTTGTGCACCACTGCCAACCCAGTATCACCAAATAATGTTTATCATATGGTACATGACGGCCCGCCATGATAGCTCTTTCACCAACCAGCACATTGGTTATTACTTTTAATGGTATTATTGTCGGGAGGAGATTGAAAAACAAATTTGTGTCGGTGGATAAAACAGCTAAATATGTTTCTATGCACAATCACGCTAACTTTGCTGAATTTTGCTGTTGCTTCTTATTGAAACAAATGGGTGTACGGCTAGGGTTAAAAGCCACTTTCGTCTGGTTAAATACATGGTGCACACTGTAGACCGAGGGCAGCCGAGGACAAACACGTGTGCGCGTGCGCAATATCAGGTTGCACGGGCAAACCGTCACCTGATTTGAAAGGGAAGCTGGTGCAGACCAGGTCAACCCAGGGTTGCACGCTGACACCGGAGGTGTTGCCAGGGAGACGTGCGATAAGGGGTGATTGATGGCCTGACAGCCGCTACCCTGTCTCGCCCTAAAGAGACACAAGGGATGAGCTGGTTAATTGTGAAGGGGATATAAAGACGGGCGTGAGAGCGGAGCGGGAGTTCGTGTTGTTGGGGGCCAAAGGAGAAAACATCTCGCCGCTGCCGCTCAAGCCAGGTACGGACCTCAACCCTCACGAGTCGCCGGGCGAGTGGTGGCTGATCCCCCCTCCCGGGACGGACGAGTAAGTGGCGTCTGAGGGAGCGTTGGCGAGGTCAGCAGTGGAATAAGGGTGCTGTGTGAGAAGCTGTGTGCAAGTCTCTGTGTGAGCGCCACTGTGTGCAAGTCTCTGTGTGATTGCCGCTGTGTGCAAGTCTCTGTGTGAGCGCCGCTGTGTGCAAGCCTCTGTGTGAGCGCTGCTGTGTGCAAGCCTCTGTGTGAGCGCCTCTGTGTGCAAGCCTCTGTGTGAGCGCTGCTGTGTGCAAGCCTCTGTGTGAGCGCCTCTATGGGCAAGCCTCTGTGTGAGCGCCGCTGTGTGCAAGCCTCCGTGTGAGCGCTGCTGTGTGCAAGCCTCTGTGTGAGCGCCGCTGTGTGCAAGCCTCTGTGTGAGCGCTGCTGTGTGCAAGCCTCTGTGTGAGCGCCTCTGTGTGCAAGCCTCTGTGTGAGCGCCGCTGTGTGCAAGCCTCTGTGTGAGCGCTGCTGTGTGCAAGCCTCTGTGTGAGCGCCTCTGTGTGCAAGCCTCTGTGTGAGCGCTGCTGTGTGCAAGCCTCTGTGTGAGCGCCTCTATGGGCAAGCCTCTGTGTGAGCGCCGCTGTGTGCAAGCCTCCGTGTGAGCGCTGCTGTGTGCAAGCCTCTGTGTGAGCGCCTCTGTGTGCAAGCCTCCTTGTGAGCGCCGCTGTGTGCAAGCCTCTGTGTGAGCGCCTCTGTGTGCAAGCCTCTGTGTGAGCGCTGCTGTGTGCAAGCCTCTGTGTGAGCGCCTCTGTGTGCAAGCCTCTGTGTGAGCGCTGCTGTGTGCAAGCCTCTGTGTGAGCGCCTCTATGTGCAAGCCTCTGTGTGAGCGCCGCTGTGTGCAAGCCTCCGTGTGAGCGCTGCTGTGTGCAAGCCTCTGTGTGAGCGCCGCTGTGTGCAAGCCTCTGTGTGAGCGTTGCTGTGTGCAAGCCTCCGTGTGAGCGCTGCTTTGTGCAAGCCTCTGTGTGAGCGCCTCTGTGTGCAAGCCTCCGTGTGAGCGCCGCTGTGTGCAAGCCTCTGTGTGAGCGGTGCTGTGTGCAAGCCTCCGTGTGAGCGCCCCTGTGTGCAAGCCTCTGTGTGAGCGCTGCTGTGTGCAAGCCTCTGTGTGAGCGCCTCTGTGTGCAAGCCTCTGTGTGAGCGCTGCTGTGTGCAAGCCTCCGTGTGAGCGCTGCTGTGTGCAAGCCTCTGTGTGAGCGCCGCTGTGTGCAAGCCTCTGTGTGAGCGTTGCTGTGTGCAAGCCTCCGTGTGAGCGCCGCTGTGTGCAAGCCTCCGTGTGAGCACCGCTATGTGCAAGCCTCTGTGTGAGCGCCGCTGTGTGCAAGCCTCTGTGTGAGCGCCGCTGTGTGCGGAGCCTTTAGTGCGGAGCTGCTGAGAGCAAGAGCTGTCATATGCAGGTTAGCAAAGTGTTAAGTAGATAGGGGAATTTGGTTAACAGAAGTGACCGTATAGACAGAGATAGGAGCCCCTACAACTGGTACAAGAATAGGTTAATAAAGTGTAAGCAGGTGACCTGTTACAACGTGTCTGTCTGAGTGATTCTACACGACACTACACCACTGTACTCCCAAGGATTAGGGATAGATCATTTAGACATATTCAGTGATTGACATCTTCTCAATGGTTAGCATTCGATGCACTTCCCAAGGTTAGGGTGAGATGTTCACCCGAGGGTTTGATGTCCTTCCAAGCATCATCGTGGCTGTTAGATGTCCTACGGATTAAGGTGAAAGGTCTTTCCAATAGATAGAGGTAGGGTTGGATATCTTCCCATGGCTTAGGGTTAGATGTCCTCCAAAGGATGCAGGTTAAATATTCTCCCGAGGGTCAGGGTTATGTTTAGATGTGCCCCCAAGTGTTATCCAAAGTAGAGGTTCTGGCTGTCGCATGATGAGGCAATTCGTACTCGAATTATAAATGTTGTGGGTTTACTCTCCAACACACCGGTGTGCTGAAGTACCAACTTATCGGCACGTTTTATTTCCATGACAAACCTTGCTAATTGGCTGTGTCGGTGGTGGCGGGTTTAACGACAGATTTATATTCATGCGATGTAACCCACAAAAAACCTTTTACGGATAATATTGGTCACGAAAGCCTACGTGTTATCCTCATGATTCCCTTTGTTTACAATTATATTTATAAAAAAAACTTTTTTTGCAATTATAATTCTACACTATAGATACAGAACAACTTTTTGGAATATTTAAACCCAAGATGAGTGCAGAAGGATGTAGGACACAATGGTTTGCCGTTTGTGTGAATAGCCACTATGTCTCAGCAGATGTAGTTGGCTATCAGCAATCTTCTCCTCTGCGATTGTGCCTATGCGTTGTGCATACTGCATTTTCTGGATTTATAGTATTCTCTGTTTGCATTCTCAGTTTCTTGTATTTGTCACATTTACCCATGAGATTTATTACTTCTTTAGATTGCCTTTCAAGACTAACTCTAACCATTTCTTGGCTACCTTTCGCCGATTTAATTTGTTTAACAATACTTTCTAAACGTAAGTTCACTTCCTCGAGGCAACTTTTTTCTTGACCAATTACCCCTTTTATTTGTATAATCTGCTCATTTAATTGACTAAAATGTGCCTCGGTTGCCTTCCACTGTTTTTTTTCTTGTTGAATGTCCACCTCTGAACGTTTAGACCACAAGTGTACCACTTTGACTCCTAATCCCAATGCAAGCGCTCCTCCTCCTGCAACCAATGCTGCCCCTGTTGCTACCGCTGCACCTCCTGCAATTATTGCCCCTGTTGTTGCTGCTACCTCTGCTACACTTGCGGCAACTGCCGACGCCCCTGCCACCTTTGCTCCTACTGCACTTAACACGATTGTCCCACCCCCTGCTGCTCCTATACACCCTGATTTTACTGCTACTCCTCCCGCTTTTCTGGCCACCGATACGCATCCTTCAACTCTCTCATTTGCAAGTGCCTCGGTTTGTTTTGTCATTATTGCTGAAAGCCCATATATTTTTTTGCAGTTGTTTATTTCATCTTGTGTTTTATTTTTTAAATTACAAAGCTCGTTTAAATTAGAATCATAGTTGCTGAAAATTTGTTTACATTTCTCATCCAGTTCAGGGAATTGGGTGGCGAAATATTCTAGTGCCTCCTTTGGTTTTATTATGTCCTGCTTAACCTTCACCATCATGTGATTAAACTCATCAATTGCAAAGCAAATGGTGTCAACATATGTATCAGCAATAATTTGGATGTCTTTGTGATTTGAAGCTATTTGTTGCAGATGCCGAAGTACCATTATCACATTTTTATCACTGGTTTCTTCTAGGGTCATCATGCCAATCTGAAAATGTACAAAATCGTGAACATGGATTTAGCACATTGACAAAATATCATTCATATTTCTAATTAAAGTACAATGATGATTCAATAGGTAAAGCGACATTTAATGATTATATCTGTGCTAAATATGCTGAATGAATGGGATTTGGCTCTTGGGCCTCAGGCGCAATTTCTTTGACACTGCGTGTGGCGTTGGTGAGATATTAACTACCTCGCCTTTGTCTCCCCAGTGGCGATGTTCACACACCACAGCAGTTACTCGTTTGAGGCTGAGTCGACTTAGGGGAGGCCCAGGACCGGTTCAAAGAATCATCACTGGTGGTGGCCGTGCGCGGGAATCGAACTCGGGTCGCTGGGTTCATAGCGCAGCGCGCTAACCACTACACTACAATGCGTTATGCTTCTACATGCGCGGGTCACATGACAGATTTGACGTCACAGCTCACTTGCCATGCAAAAAACATATGCATTATTGAGCTCCCCCCCCCCCAAAAAGTGTATTTTTATCATTTTTGCATGGTGTACAGTCTGGAAAGTTTGTTGCATGTCGGGAAGTACGCTAAACATTTTGAACAGACACACATAATCACAACTTTGCCTTTTACATATATATGGAGATAACCCTGTGAGCCATGCGGCTCTTGACTTGGGTGCAAACGCAACAAAACAAAAACATGAACAAGAAACATCTTAAAGTGACTACACGCAACAGAAAAATCCTGGAAAAAAACAGCAGTCTTCCAGAAAAAGCACCGTATTTCAAGTCAAACAATAACCACCAGAAGACAATTTAGATTAAAGTTATCAGGCTAACTCTGTACTACAACAAACAAACATGGCTAAGCCATAACGTGTTTAAAATCACCAAAATATAGCTATAAAACAATGTAACAGTGATCATAGGAACTGTGATTCAAATTCAACAATAAACGATATGTACATAACCTGTACGACCAAACTCTGCAGCCATAGCTGGCTGAATGAGTCACTCCATAACAGCAGGAGTATCAATAGCAGTATCAAAAATTTCAATACACCTTTAAAGATCATTCACCAATCGACAATAAGCTGAACGGCAAGAACAGACGGCAGGCCGTGCATGTTTGTCGTACCTTCTCTTCCGCCCCGTCCTGTGCACCTTTTGTCTCACACGGCTCTGCTTGGATCTTGTCAAACTTTTCAACATACTGTCGTCTCATTCTGTAGCTGAGAGACTACAGGGTGCCCACCGACACAGTACGTATGCTGCTTCCGTACAGTCACCCTGAATTTAAGACAACATTTATATGAGTCCATTAATCCAGGGGTCCCAATCCCCGGGCCGCGGACCGGTACTGGTCCGTGCCTCTTTCGCGCACTGCGCACTTGTCTCAGTCACAGTTTTGGTATAAAACCCACAAGCTAACAACCCTAGTAGCCACAATGAGTAACAAACAAACGTCGCTGGAGAGCTTCTTTGAAAAGGGGGAAAGACCCAATGATGAACCCCCCCCCCCCCAGGTCCGTGAAAAAATTGTCTTCCACAAAACCGGTCCCTGGTGCCAAAAAGGTTGGGGACCGCTGCATTAATCGATCTTAATTTTACGTGCCGATATCGCCCTCAATAAAGATGGCATACATTACAACAGAACGTGATGAACGGTACAGGGGCATAGAGGAGTCGTTCCAAACCTTGCTTGACTACTGTGCCCCCTTTGTTGAATTTTGTTTCACCCCCCCCCCCTTGCCTGACCCAACACGGTTCTCAGAAATAAATGTATAAAGAATAAGCATCAATATTTTAAACAATTATCCATTTGGCGAGGTATCTTAACTCGCAAGTAACTGCAAGAGAAAAAATCAGCGGACGCTCTGCGTGCGTGACGTAATTACGATCAATGAGTTTAGAAAGGTCCTTTATATAGTTCTAGGTTATCGTAGTTATTTTACACTGGCAGATTCATACATGAGTATTCACCAATGACTCTCATGCATGATTTAATGTCACACATTTATACATCACCTCACGTACCCCCAGAGCAATAGAAACCCGCCAGGACCTCAGTGGCGAACACCGACTGAGCAAAGTAAATTGCAACCATACGCAACAAATCGCGTAAGAAAAAAGAGAAACGTTGGAAACGACGTTTAGAAACAAACAAAAATCATCCTCACCTTAAACGTTCACCATGGTGGATAGCGACAACACGTCCCGGCCGTGTGTTAAGTCAACTTGGTAGTGGTGGTAGCGGTTTAATCTGTACGGGACGCCAACACGAACATCAACAGCACAACATTGTGAATTGTGTAATGAGTGTGCACTTCTACAGAGCGTCTTAGGATGCGATTGTGTGAACAAGCGAAGTACGTCTAAAATTGTCTTACATAGTAACTCTGGCATTGTCCGTCTCTGTTTGCACCTCGTGGCTTCTTAAAGTTATATACTAATTACATAAAGACTTGATTTGAAGCTTTCGTGACTGCAGGAATTACTCTTTGTTTTTTTTTCGGTAAAGTCACGTATAAATAAGAAATAATGAAATAACATAATAGCGTACGACGTTTCGGTTGCAACACAAGCAGCCATCATCAGGTACAGAAGAGATACATTTGGGAGAGAGGGGAAACACATAACCTCAGATGTATATACAGACACCCAAGCAGGGGGAACCGACACAGATACACCAGGGGACACAGAGAGAGAAGCATACCAGACAAACATCGCAATTACGTCAAACAGGGTTTGTTTGGTATGCTTCTCTCTCTGTGTCCCCTGTTGTATCTGTCAGTTCCCCCTACTTGGGTGTCTGTATATACATCTGAGGTTATGTGTTTCCCCTCGCTCCCAAATGTATCTCTTCTGTACCTGATGATGGCTGCTTGTGTTGCAACCGAAACGTCGTACGCTATTATGTTATTTTATTATTTCTTATTTATACGTGATTTTACCGAAAAAAAACCAAAGAGTAATTACATAAAATTATAATCTACGGACAACAGCCCCTTGTCGATACAAAGCTGGATGTATAGGCCTTCCCACACTGCATCGGCCGCAAGTGTTGTTTGACCATACTTCACCAGGCTGGTCACATGCGAGTTGGTGTCGTGAGAGCCCTGGACCGGTTGGCTTCAGAGATCACGCGCCACTGACGTTAGCCGTGGTCGAGAACCGAATTAAGGTCGCCATGCAAATGTTACCTAAACTACATATGTTTGTCTTAGCGGTCATTTAACAACCTACATTAAATCGCGCACAATTGTAAAGCATGACCGAAAAACACGGTGCCATCCATCACGGCATTGTTAGTCCGGTAAAGTTCTTCATCACCTCGTACGCAGTAGAAGGGACCGGGAGAGGCGTCCGGTAGCTGCAGGAGGAGCGCGTTCCGTCGTCGGCAAGGAGTGAACGACTTCACGTCGTCAAGTCTCACAATTGCAGTTACGGTTGGGTGACGCGTGACAACGTTTGGTTTTCCGAGTTGAAAATTTGACACGACGCGCATCTGCGCGTGTGCTGTTTTGACACGTCAACATCGCCCGTGGGTTGGGTTTTAATGTCAACAGCAAGGACGTGGAAATGGTCGGGAGGGGGGCGGCTGACGAGACGCTCGCATTTCTCGGAAGAGGCAGGGGATGGGGGCTGTTTGCATGGTGGAGGGCAAACTGGTTTCTTTTGTGATGTACTGTGGTGAACTTCCTTGCGTAGCCAACCGTGCTAATCTGAGGTGCGAACTGGTTTTCGAATTCATCATCGAGGTTTTTGGGTTATATCGCGGAAATATAAATGTGTCGTTAAAGCCGCCACCATCCGACACGGCCAATTAGTAAGGTTTGTCACGTAAACAAAACGTGCCAATTCGTAACTTGTTCAGCACACCATTCGAGTACTCGATTTGTAAATGTTGTAGGTTTACTCTCCAATACACCGGTGTGCTGAACTAGTAATGAATTGAAATGTGACAAACCTTGCAAATTGGCTCTGTCATGTTGTAGCAGATTTTAACGATACGTTCATATTTACGTAATCTAACTCACAAACTTATTATGGATATTGGTTGCACGCCTACGTGTTAAACTGTTTTATAATCACTGTACAGTACTCATATCCCTGACGTTCTGGGGTCTAATCCTAGGAATAAAGTCCATGTAAGTTTTTGATTGTCCGTTAGGGCTCTTCCACGTCCACTTACCAGGGCTTATTTTAAAAATGTGTCCATCATCTCCACGTGTCCGTTTGCGCTGTTGCTCTGGAGACCGAACATTGATCATCGATCTCCCGGTCTCCAGGGCAACAACAACACAGGCCAGGCCCACGGCCCTCTTCAGGGCCAGACAATGCCACATCCGCACAAATCATGGCAGTAGATGCGGATACCTGCTGCACAAATGAAAAACGTAAAACTCTCCAGTGTGCGACTGTGAGCATCCAGAACAGACCATACAATATATAGCGACGCAATGGCCGATCCACAAATATGAAGGATGGCGAGACATGCTGGAAGCAACACGTTTTATTACAACTAGGGATACACAAAGGGGTAACGGCCCCTTACACCTGATACCCTAAGGAGGTAGCCCCTCCGGACTAATATGCCCTCACTCTGGTTACAGCTCTACACTAGACTAGTAAGCTCTGAACCCGACCCTAGTCAGGGGTTCGGGTTCTGCCCTTTGGGCTCTTCGCTTCAGGTCTTCAGATCTTCAGAGTGGTTCTTCAGATCTCTATGGCTTCAGGTTTTCAGGTGGACGATGACTGCTGGACCCGTTCAGGGGTCCGGCTTTTATTCCCGTTCTAGAGTCTCTCCGCCCCTAGCCACACCTTCCTTCTCGAACTCTTTAGGGGGGCCTGGAATATAATGGCATCCCCCCAGCCCCCTTCTTGGGGTCTGGGGTCCCTGGTGGCCCAATGGGCTGACTCATCCCACCTATCCTGTCTACCAGCCTCTGTTGACACATGTCCGCTACTGCAGGTAAGAATCATACCGCCTAACAATGGAACTACCCATGTACTGTATTGACATATCAGAAGTCACTGAGTGGTGCCGGCACGAGAGGGGCATGGCGTGCGATGTAACCCCATCGTGGACATCAGGTATGTAGCGATATCGTGGATGTCACTGGGTAATGCCTGCTCTAGTGCGATGCATTGCTATCGCGGACACCCCGTATATGTGGGTGTAGCACCAACCCTGGAGAGGGCTCGGTGAGCGCTGAGCGACAGCGCTCAGTAGCACCACGCTCCGCGTGTAGTGTTGACCCCTACGGGGTAGGGTGTGCGAGTGCAGGCCACGGGAACGAGGTTACTGTGGGCCATGGCACTCTGCTTGACCCCGAAGGACACGTTACCAGTAAAGTCTACATGGGGCCCCAGGTGGGGGATAGGGGGTGGTCACGTGTCGAGGGGAGAGATCCTACGGGAAGGGTCGAGAGAGAACTGGAGGTCGCTCGAAGGTGGGCGTGGCCAAGGGCGGGGCCAGCCACGACCTGGGAGCATATAAACAGGGACCGGGGTTAAGCGTTGCTACCGTCATCTGAAGATCTACGATCTACGTCCAAGAAGAGTCACCAACACGTGGACCTGGACCCGAGCCGGGGTCCGGTCCGTTGTAGCTAACATACCAGTGTGTTAGTGTAGTTTAGCCGGGTGGTCCACCACCATAGGCTGTTATTTGGTAAAGGGGCAGCTACCCCTTTGTGTTACGTGTTGGTATAAATAAATGTGTTGCCTCCAAGAAGTGCGTCTGCGACTCGGTTGAATCCTATACATATAAAAATACAATCTGTAAAACATTGATTTACCTCACATGTGATATTTGGAAGATATTTTAACGTGTACTTTGTAAGAACAATAACGTTGACAACTGTAAGGATTTCATCGGTTTAATTGGCAAACAAAATCATAGCCAACAACTTTTCAAATAGCGTAATTACAAACAAAAGATATTAAAAACGTGACACGTGGGTTGCTGTCAGCAAACATTGCTTAGACATATTGCGCAATTAATGAAATAGACAAATATATTTTATATTCTTGGGTTCTTTCGGTAAAGTCACGTAGAAGGGAAACAAAATAAAAAAATATATAAAACAATAAAATTCTCACGACGTTTCGACTGCAACACAAGCAATCATCATCAGATGTGAAAACCACAGCAGAAAATTTGAAAAAAGTGGCGGTTTTATTGTTTTATATTTTTATTATTCTATTGTTTCTCTTCTACGTGACTTTACCAAAAGAACCAAGAATATGAATCCCTGCAGTCACGAAAGCTTTAAGTCAATATATATTTTACTTTATTTCAGTGGGAAGAGCCCATTAAATTGTTGAGCTCTATTTCATTGGCATCCTGCGACGGTACAGATGTAGAGCTTACTTGTTTTAAGAAAAAAAATTCGGTGGTGTAGCATGATCACTGAATTTATCGCTGGTGGTCTGACATTGCTTTATCATAAATTTAAAATTTGTTTTGGATATCAATGTCCTATTGCAAGGGGAGGTTTCTATCTCGTCCGCGATAAGTTTTAGAAAATTATCCACTTCTCCGAGGTCTCCATTCGCTTCCCGAATGGATTCCTCGATCTCATCCAACTCCTTGGTAAACCTTGCACCCTTCGATTTCCAAGCTTCATGCTCATTGTCTTTCCAAGCAGCCTTATGTTTCACCCTTTCTTTTATTACAACGCTCACGACTCCCACCAATCCAGCTGGCACCATTATCCCTGCCAGTGGCATTACCTTCACCGCCCAACTTGTTGCCGCCATTACAAGCGCACCACCGGCTGCCAGCGCTCCCGTGCAACGTAACGAACGTGATGCAATCATCGCCATTGATGCCATAATCGCTGCGACTGCTACTTCTGAGAATACCACTCCTACTTGTGTTATTTTCCTTTCCACTCCTGTTGCCCATCCCAAGGTTCTCACTTGTGCTAATGGTGCTCCTATCACCGACTCTCTTACATCTATTTCTCCCACTCCTGTTGCCCATCCCCAGGTTCTCACTTGTGCTAATACTGCTCCTATCACCGACTCTCTTACACCTACTATTTCTGCCACTGTGACCACTGCTACCACCAATGACATTATTGCTGTGTAGGTCAACACAGTTTGTAACATTTGCATTCGAGTCGCATATTTTCTTTCATCCTCAGTAATTTTCTGAGATACATCAACTGCCCTGCGAAGGAGCTGGACGACTTCGTTGTGCTCGCCAATAATATTTCTGAGTTTTGTCACGAGGTCATTCAATTCCGATGCGAATTCCTTCACCGCTTCTTCTGGGGAAATTTTATCCTGCACAACTTTACGTGCCACTTTTAAATAGTGCTCATTTCTGGATTTTGCACATTGCACAAGAAAGCTGGACCTGGTGATTATGCCGTCGTATCTCGTGGAGATTGGTTGGAGGTCTTTTCGGATCTGCTGGACTCTGCCTCCTGAGCTGATGAACGTGGATGCAATAAAAGACTCCAGGAGTTGGCGGCATTTCTGTATTTGCCCATGGACAGCTTTACTAGTTTTGTCAAGTAGACCCAGAGTTGTGAGGAAGTCCAAGTTGACCTGCAAAAACAAAACACCCATTATTGTAAACTATTTTATTTACCAAGAAAAAGCCCACGGAGCTACACGTGGAAATTTATAGTAGCAGTAAAACGATCTAAATATACATTTATAAATGTGGAGGGAAAAAACGTAGGAACCCAGAGAATAATCCACGTGACCACGGGGAGAAAGAATACGTAACCTCAAAACAGGCCTCGTCAGGGGAGATAGAATATCGTTGCTACTGCGGCGCCCAATTCAATTTCATCAAAATACAGGCAGGAGATTTCTCAGCCGAAGTTGTCCCACCTACTAAAAGTTTTGTAAAACTAAAGTCAGTGGGACTTTGAGCGAGAACGCAGGATATCGACCACCACAATGGAGGGGTTTCGTGAATAAAAACTCGAGGAACCTAAAACAGCCAATTGAGTGATTCTTATTTTATTTTATTGAAGAGTAGGTTGTTTAAGATGAATACTTATATTAAGTTTATTCACTATCAAGGACCAGGTGGCTCAGAGGTCGAATCGCTGAGCTGACGCCACCAAGCTCCTGGGGTGGAATCCAGGAGGTTGCTTGCGCGCCCAAACCACGTTCTCAAACGTAGCAACTTGATGGTCTCAGACGTTACCAATGTCCGGACAGAGCATTACTAAATGTGGGGGTTTGCAGCCAACTTGGCTAAACTCCAGCTCTGGTAATTATTACAGACGTCGGTTTGACTTGTACGACAAACGTTCCTCTCAGTGGCAGGGTGGGTGGAAAGTGCTGCCCCTTGTTCATTGTGCCGATTTATATTTTATTAATTTGTTCTACTTCATTTATTCTGTTTTATTTTGGTGACTCAAGGTGCTCTTGCAAATTGGACTTTAGCCTGGTCTCTTGAGTTCTCACCACCTGGTTAAACAAAATAAACGTGCAACTGGTTCTTTCGGAATGGGAAGTACAGCAGTACAATTCCGACATTTGGACACAACAATGCCGTACAATGGCTGCATTACCAACCTACACCGACTAAACATCCTTTTGTTTATTTAAGACAGCCTTCCAACGTATTAAGACCCGTCGCGTTCAGGAGGGTTACTCCTGTACGAGGACGTTTGTACGAGTTCACGAATGAGCGTTTGGCATACAAGGGGCGAACAACATTGCTAACCTCCGCACAGATGGAGTTAACTCACTTGCTGTACTCCCAACTACTGGTTACCTCGCGGGCCAGCAGGTCCAGGAGTGTGGCAAAACCCGCGTCGTCCACCAACCCTCGCATTGAAAGCGTGTCGTACGCCACCGCTCCCAGCTACGCACGTTTTTTTAAGTCGCGTATTTTCGAATACAGTGAAGTGAACACGGACACAAGAAACGTAGTTTTACTTCTATACATAGCCAACGCAGCAAAACACGGGTGGTGGCGGGTTTTAACGAACACGTTTATATATTTACGCGATCTAACCCGAAAGAAACCCTCTATTATGGATGATATTTGGTCGCGAAAGCCTCCTACTACGTGTTAAACCCCAAAGAAATGTCGACAACCTTGAATCTCGCCTCCATTAGACGGTGTCGCCGGACGGCTCCAAGCTGGAAGGAGAGGAGTGTGACTGGGTCGGTCTCCTCACCACGTCCTCCTGGGTCTCCTCACCACGTCCTGGGTGTCCTCACCACGTCCTGGGTGTCCTCACCACGTCCTGGGTGTCCTCACCACGTCCTGGGTGTCCTCACCACGTCCTGGGTGTCCTCACCACGTCCTGGGTGTCCTCACCACGTCCTGGGTGTCCTCACCACGTCCTGGGTGTCCTCACCACGTCCTGGGTCTCCTCACCACGTCCTGGGTGTCCTCACCGCGTCCTGGGTCTCCTCACCGCGCCGACTGCTATCACCGTCCTTCAGCAAGCGTGGAGTCTGTTAACGACAGCACGCCGATTTGCACCACTCGCTCACTCTATGAGCAAAGCAGCGCACACGGCTACGGATTATTTAACCCGCAGCTTGCTGAGTGAGACCCCCGTCACCTCCGAGCAAGAGAGGCGCTGTGTGTGTGTGTGAGACGCGTTGTGTGTGTGAGACGCTGTGTGTGTGTGTGAGACGCTGTGTGTGTGTGAGACGCTGTGTGTGTGTATGAGACGCTGTGTGTGTGTGAGACGCTGTGTGTGCGAGACGTGCCGTGTGTGTGTGAGACGCTGTGTGTGTGAGACGTGCCGTGTGTGTGTGAGACGCTGTGTGTGTGTGAGACGCTGTGTGTGCGAGATGTGCCGTGTGTGTGCTTAGTTCGTTTCCTTCTCCACCCGCACCTACGATTCGCACGGCTGGCCACGCGTACGGTGCGCGAAACAAGTTCAGCGCGCAGCGCGTACGAACACAGCCATACCTGTGGAGCCCTTATCAGTGCTGCCTACCTTATTACACACCGATCCAGACCGTATTGAGCACCGCGTGCCCCTTGTAGATCCCAACGTTCGTCCTACAAAGTCCCACACCAAGAGGAGAGACAGAGACATTTTGTGTTGCCCGTAATGAAACGGCCGCACGCCGCACGGACCTCAAAACTCAATTTCCCTGTCCAGGAAAGAAGAACACGGCGGGTACAGCGGCATGGCTCTGACAGCTTCGTGCAAACCTGTCGCGCGGGACGCGTCTGTGCGCTCGCTCCCCACCGCCACGTGTTCGGAGGTCGGCGACTGCGCGATCTCGGCCGTCTCCTGTGGCGTACAGGCCAAGTCGGTGGACGAGTGGGCTGGGGGAGCCGGCTGGGCTGGGAGGGGGGGAGCCGGCTGGGCTGGGCTGGGGGGAGCCGGCTGGGCTGGGGGGAGTGCCCGAAGACGGGGGAGCGGTGGCGCAGCGGTTAGCGCGCGCCGCGCTACGTACTCCGGCGGGCCCGGTGTTCCGATTTGCCGCTCACGGCCACCAACGGTTATTTGAACCGAGTCCCGGGCCTCCCCCTGGGTCGACTCAGCCTCAAATGAGTGCTTGGTGCGAGTTTGTAAGCGGAGCCAGCGGGGGAAGGGGGGGGGGGTGGCGAAGGTGGTCCGGTGTGGCGCTGGCCACCCACCGCTTCGCGTGCCGTGCCGGGCCTTCATGAGGTGCTACTCGCTCGCAGCCACTTGCCCCAGCAGTCTGTTAAAGCTGTAGGAGTGATGATTGTCTTTGGAGCCAGGTGAATCATGTTATTCCCACGGGGAATGACGAATTACCAGTGGCAACCCACCGCATTCCTTGTACCTGTGCGTTTCCGTACGATTCATCCAACACAATCTCGGTACAATGTTAAATCTGTGTTTATTGGTTGCTTTAGTGAAGTGGGAGATCGGATGCGCATCTGCTGCTTCATTTCGAGTCGAGTGAAGCGTTCGCAGACGGTCTGCAGTGCAGCATAAACACCCCGGCTTAGTCTCCCCCCCCCCCCACCTTTAACGTCGTTTCACACCTACGTCGGCATTTTATCAACACCGCTGTCCGATTCGCGTCGCCTCAACCCCACACAAGACGTCTCCGACAAGCATCGTCCGTCCTTTCTCGTTTCCGTCGTCTCTCAGCCTTCGCCTCCACCACATACCCTGTACATCGCTTTGATTGACGTCGTTTCGATATACGTCATCGCACATTTCAAGAACGCACCCCCGACGTAAAGCGGGGTATCGCTGTGCTGCACTGTGACACGGGCGAACAGGCACCGCTCCAAGATGTAACCACGGGCTGCGTTTGTATGTACCTTATGTTGTATGTACCTTATGTTGTATGTACCTTATGTTGTATGTACCTTATGTTGTATGTACCTTATGTTGTATGCACCTTATGTTGTATGTACCTTATGTTGAACTTCTTTCGCACCGTGCTAATCGGAGGTGCGGGAGAAAGGCCAACAAACTAAACAATGAGGTTTTTGTGGGTCAGATCGCGTAAATATATAAATGTGTCGTTAAAGTCCGCCACCACCCGACACAGCCAACTAGTAAGGGTTGTTACTTAAACAGAACGTGGCCAATTCGTCACTAGTACAGCACACCGGTGTGTTGCAGAGCCAAGTCAAACATTGGCCAAGCCACAGCGTTCAGGGAAGCTGGTTTTATTTGTCAAACTTCGTCGATTATATGGCAGAGGGAAATGGAAGAGCAGGTTAAACGTGTTTTGTGACTCTGTCTCAGAGATGCGTGTTGTGACTATAATTAGTTATTACTGAGGATTGTCCGTGGGCGTCAGATTGAAGTTGGTACTGGCCCACGTAGAAAGTCGAAAATTCAGTAAATTATAAAACGTTGGGTCAACGTCGGCCAACGTTGGCATGTTTACTAGCTAAGCACAAATATTTTGTGATTTATCTACTCGATGTGAGATGACAAGTGATAAACGATTTAATTTAACATAAGCGTACACTTTGTGTTTGTGTTCATGTGATTAATGAATTCTGCTATAATTGTGACTTCTTGTTGTAGTCGACAGAGGGCCTTTATTGACTCTGCTAAACAAACGCCTGCACTGTACTTTCAATGGCTTTGTTGCTAGCAGTAGGTAGACCCAGCGGGAATGTGTTTCCGGATCTCTATGCGTCTCCCCGTGTGTCCCAATGCAGTAACGACACACACATCAGCAATGTGAGATCCTCACATTTGCGCTTTCCTAACTTGGATGGGTTTAAAAAAAATCACCATTACTTGTCAGGGGAAAAACATGCTTGACTAAATATCATGAAGTGTACAAATACGCATATGATTATAAGTTGACATACATTGTCACTAATAATACATATAAAGATACAAAAACAATCATCATACGTTTTTGTAAAACTTAGTTTGTGCCTATAATAGATGAGTGTATACTATATATGAACAAAATTGCATTTTTGCTGTGATCAAAGTCGCAGTATTGAAATGTCACCTTAAAACCTCTGCTGTTTCGCAACCACCCCAGCGCTTACTCAAAAATGCAGAAACCTTGCATCCCTTAACGACGATTTCCACGTCACGCAACGCCACAAACAAACGCCCCTTCTCCGAAAGCGACGCAGGTAACAGGGATCGTCACACCGGGGAACGAACCTTCCCGCCACGTCCAGAACAGTTCACAACCTGTCAAGTAGCCTGACATTTACAAATGTCGCTTTCATGCATGAAAATTCAACACATTCGTGAATAAAATGTCCTTTAAAAAAACTTTAAGGCAACCAGGCAGTGATCAGACGCAATTGGGCAAGCTCTGCAATCCTTCATATATGAAGATGTTTTTTAAAATCCATTTTATGAGTGTATATACATGTGGAAGGCAACATTCTATTTCATTCAGAAGGGATAGATAATATAATTACTCCACACTTTACTGTACCGCATTCACCTGGAAAGACAGGCTTTGGCTCAAGGGAGTTTCACAACATGTTGCAATCCACCAACCCTCGCCTTCACAGCTCAATGGGTGATGTGAGGCCACTGAGCGTCGCTTTTGCTCACTAATCTGGGAACACACACTGCGGATAAACGTCACGATTACTAAAAGTAAAACTGACCATTGTGAGATAAATTGCTGATTCATACTTTATTCGGGATTCATACATTTCAGAGATCAACGTACAGATAACACGGAAATACTTACGACCCATGAAATTTAAGATGCCCGTGCGTGATGAAACTAATGTAATGTGGGACGTAAACCATCAGACTCCTGTCGCCTCAGAACCCGAAAAGGTGGTCATCAAAACTATGCGGTCTTCCTGCTCATGAGCGGTAGTTTAACATGTTAATTCATACTCAGTGAGACTTCGTTTGTAGTTGTTGACACAACTGGGTGGATATCATTGCTATAAACTACGTGGTTAATCTAAACCTGAACAGCCATTTATTTTACATCGTATTTTCCTTCCAGGAACAGAAGCAACAAAATATGGCTTAGCGAGGTCATTGAAGCAGCAACAGCATATTACGATACGATGTGATTTAGTCACTTGGAATTTGTAAATGTGATTGTGAAGTTGCGAGATTTCAAAGCCGCAGTATTCAAATGTGACTTTAAAACCTCTGCTGTTTCGCAAACACCCCAGCACGTAACTAAAAAATGCAGAAACCTTTCATCCGTTTATGGACGATTTCCACGTCACGCAACGCCACAAACAAACGCCCCTTCTCCGAAAGCGACGCAGGTAACAGGGATCGTCACACCGGGGAACGAACCTTCCCGCCACGTCCAGAACAGTTCACAACCTGTCAAGTAGCCTGACATTTACAAATGTCGCTTTCATGCATGAAAATTCAACACATCGGTGAATAAAATGTCCTTTAAAAAAATGTTAAGGCAACCAGGCAGTGAACAGACGCAATTGGGCAAGCTCTGCAATCCTTCATATATGAAGATGTTTTAAAATCCATTTTATGAGTGTATATACATGTGGAAGGCAACATTCTATTTCATTCAGAAGGGATAGATAATATAATTACTCCACACTTTACTGTGCCGCATTCATCTGGAAAGACAGGCTTTGGCTCGAGGGAGTTTCACAACATGTTGCAATCCACCAACCCTCGCCTTCACAGCTCAATGGGTGATGTGAGGCCACTGAGCGTCGCTTTTGCTCACTAATCTGGGAACACACACTGCGGATAAACGTCACGATTACTAAAAGTAAAACTGACCATTGTGAGATAAATTGCTGATTCATACTTTATTCGGGATTCATACATTTCAGAGATCAACGTACAGATAACACGGAAATACTTACGACCCATGAAATTTAAGATGCCCGTGCGTGATGAAACTAATGTAATGTGGGACGTAAACCATCAGACTCCTGTCGCCTCAGAACCCGAAAAGGTGGTCATCAAAACTATGCGGTCTTCCTGCTCATGAGCGGTAGTTTAACATGTTAATTCATACTCAGTGAGACTTCGTTTGTAGTTGTTGACACAACTGGGTGGATATCATTGCTATAAACTACGTGGTTAATCTAAACCTGAACAGCCATTTATTTTACATCGTATTTTCCTTCCAGGAACAGAAGCAACAAAATATGGCTTAGCGAGGTAATTGAAGCAGCAACAGCATATTACGATACGATGTGATTTAGTCACTTGGAATTTGTAAATGTGATTGTGAAGTTGCGAGATTTCAAAGCCGCAGTATTCAAATGTGACTTTAAAACCTCTGCTGTTTCGCAAACACCCCAGAACGTAACTAAAAAATGCAGAAACCTTTCATCGTTTATGGACGATTTCCACGTCACGCAACGCCACAAACAAACGTCCCTTCTCGTAAAGCGACGCAGGTAACAGGGATCGTCACACCGGGGAACGAACCTTCCCTGCCACGTCCAGAACAGTTCACAACCTGTCAAGTAGCCTGACATTTACAAATGTCGCTTTCATGCATGAAAATTCAACACATCGGTGAATAAAATGTCCTTTAAAAAAAATCTTAAGGCAACCAGGCAGTGAACAGACACAATTTGGCAAGCTCTGCAGTCCTTCATATATGAAGATGTTTTTTTTATCCATTTTATGAGTGTATATACATGTGGAAGGCAACATTCTATTTCATTCAGAAGGGATAGATAATATAATTACTCCACACTTTACTGTACCGCATTCACCTGGCAAGACAGGCTTTGGTTCGAGGGAGTTTCACAACATGTTGCAATCCACCAACCCTCGCCTTCACAGCTCAATGGGTGATGTGAGGCCACTGAGCGTCGCTTTAACTCACTAATCTGGGAACACACACTGCGGATACACGTCGTCTAAAAGTAAAACTGACCATTGTGAGATAAATTGTTAATTCATACTTTATTCGGGATTCAGACAGAGATCAACGTACAGATAACACGGAAATACTAACGGCCCACCAAATTTAAGATACCCGTGCGTGATGAAAATAATGGCATGTGGTTAATCTAAACCTGAACAGCCATTTATTTTAAATCGTATTTTCCTTCCAGGAACAGAAGCAACAACATATGGCTTAGCAAGGTAATTGAAGCAGCAACAGCATATTACGATACGATGTGATTTAGTCACTTGGGATTTGTTAATGTGATTGTGAAGTTGCGGGATTTGCCTCCATTATAAAACTATGACCCACATGGACACTGTAGCTTTAGTAACCATGGGGGCAGCTGTTTTCATGCTTGGTGTGGAAAACATGTAACTTCCTCAAAATAAAAAAGACATTTTTCAGAAATCGAAACTGGAGAGCAGCCCATCCTAGGAATCGGGGTGATTCCTCCGACATCAGCCACTGCCTGCTCCCCCTCCCTGTAAGCCATTCCCTCCGTGTGCACAATGTATAGCCGGCGTTATACAAGCATGCAATGTCCTCATTTGTCCGCCAGGTGACGCAGCACATATTGCTATTGTTATTCGGACACGAGTTTTTTCTTTTTACCGAGGCCAGAGACCATATAGGTCTACACAGGCCATATTCTATACTCCATAAAGGATATCCCTGGCTTCTTCGGTCACAAAGAGTCTTTACTAGACTCTGTATGACAAAGTTGTAAAATGTGCTGTGACTGATAAATTTGTTTACATGTAGATTTGTGTTATACGACGATACTATTTTTATTTTACCCGGTAAGGCCTATTGAGCTTTATAGATCTTTTTTCAGAAGCAACCTGGCCAGAAATGATAGCTGAACAAACTGACATATTGTGTGGAAATTTATAACAGCCAAATACTCTAAACTCATGTTTTAAATGTGCAGGTTAAAACCGCAGGACCCAAATAAAAATCCACGCGACCACGGGGAGAACACACAAACTCCCAATATACAGCAGGCGTCAGGGTCAGGATCGTACTCACGACCTCCTGCATACCAGGCGAGGGAGATAACTTCTCGGGACCGCGGTGCCCTATTAATTATTATGAGTGATGACACACAACGACATTGGTCATGATCCAGAGATAGGCCTCGGCAAGGTAAGGTAAAAACGAGCCTACCTTTACCCTACCTTTTACCACCCTACCTTTTACCACAATACAATCACTCTACCCTTACGAGCCTACCTTTACCCTACCTTTTACCCTTACCCCATACAAATTACCCGACTACACATGAAAAAGGTTTATAACAGGTACATGCTCAGTAGAGCGCTTTATTCATATAGATTACTCTCGATGATTCCAATTTAAAATTGAGGCCAGGACTGCACCACAAAGCTTTTAGCGAGCGGTAAACAAGGTATTTATCGGGTAATTCTTCCACGCTACCTTTACCCTACCCTTTACCTTACCCCTTGGCATGGTCGACAACTTTATCCTTTACCTTTACCATTTTACCTGGTAAAAAAGGTAAATTACTTTACCTTGCCAAGGCCTATCCAGATATTTTAACATTTTGATAACCCAACATGAGATTGCAATTTACTCACACGTACATACAATTTATATTTATTATCTGATCAACAAAAGTATTTGTATATGTATTATTTGTAACACCCGAATTTCATTTTACTTCACTGAAGACTATACCATTAAAACAAGGCAACATCACTCTATCACTTTGACAACTAGAAGAACCAACAACTTTTTGAGTGAGAATAGGTTTTCCCCTTTTTTCTGTTAAATGTTAAAACACCAAACTGAAACCTTTTACAAGGAATCCTGTCTGCATTAACCACAATACTTGTGGTCAAAATGCAAACAAAAAAAATACTCTGATAATATATGCATTGTCTTTGAAACTGATTGGTCCACACCAGAGACAGCTTTCTTTTGAGCCTCGTCTCAAAACGGTGTTAGACCAGAGGACGCCAAAAGGCGAACAGCACAAAGACAATGCCACTATCAGAGTAATGAGGGCTCGGGGTGAGCATCTACATCATGGGACCTCCTTTGCCAGTACCAAAATATGAGAATAAGTTTTCCCATTTTTTCTGGCAACAAAAGAGGTGTTAAGATGTTAAAACACCAAACTGAAACCTTTTACAAGGAATGATGTCTGCATTAACCACAATACTTGTGGTCAGAATGCAAACAAAAAAGTACTCTGATAATATATGCAATATATTCTTGTTTTTTTCGGTAAAGTCACGTAGAAGGGAAACAATAAAATATTTTTTTTAATTATAAATATTTTATTTTATTTTATTGTTTCCCTTATACGTGACTTTACCGAAAAACCCAAGAATATGAATCCCTGCAGTCACGAAAGCTTTAAATCAAAATTTAATATATTCATTGTCCTTGAAACTGATTGGTTCACACCAGAGACAGCTTTCTTTTGAGCCTAGTCTCAAAACGGTGTTGTTTTGTTGCCAGAAAAAAGGGGAAAACCGATTCTCATATTTTGGTACTGGCAAAGGAGGTCCCATGATGTAGACACTTTTTGAGTTTTAACAATAGCTTCAACAGTAAACATATAGAGTTATAAATTACGTCTGGCAATGCTGACAATACGATTCAGTTTCAGATTGTCACCAGTAGGCCTGTTAAATATAGTTAGAAAAGTATTGGTCAATAATGGTGGTAGTGATTGGAAATAATTGAGTTTGGATCAGGGAGTCGACAAAGCGCAAGAGTTGATGACTTATTTTGCAATGGGCGAGTAGCTCTGCCTCGTTGTGCAAAACTCAATGCACGTGAAGATCACCATCGTCAGCGATGATCTTTCCTCTGCTGGATGAAGCCCTCCCAAAATCGTCGCCGTTTCTCACTCTCTCGCGATGCAAGAATCCATCTGGCTCCGGAACAAGAGTTGAACCTCTGCTCCATCTCTGTGGTGGACGTCCTCTCGGGCATGTTCCCTCCTTTTGTTGCCACTCTGTCGTTAGCCTCGACCACTGGCTATCTCATCTTTCATAATAAAGGTTTTTGGGTTAGATCGCGTTATTTATAAATGTGTCATAACCCTCCACCACCCGACACGGCCAATTAGCAAACTGCAAATGTTGTGGATTCACTCTTCAACACACCGGTGGGCTAAAGTAGTGAACTATGTCTTTTGTCAACGTGACACTTTTTTGCTGATTGGCCGTGTCGGGTGGTGGAGGGTTACGACACATTTATAAATAACGCGATCTAAACCAAAAACCTTTATTATGAATAATATTGGTCGCGAAAGCCTACGTGTTATTTCATCTTTTCTAAGCGGTGTTTTTTCACCAAGCCTACTCTCGATAAATGGTCAAACGATGCCTCTAACTTGCCTTTGTTGTTCTCTTCTCGAAGTCTTTCTCATTTTTTGTCTCTCATAATTCCAAACGTGCACATCTACTTGCTTCATATGTGCCCTTTCGAGCTGTTATTCAATGTCCTTTGTAAAGAGCCATGCCATTAGTTCTGGTGAAAATGTTAAACGCCATACGAAAGAAGCTACAAGGACATTGTTGGAGAACTGAAGAAGGCTGCTAAATTATTTGGCCGAAGATAAAAAAAAAATATAATCAAAAACATCATGCACAACAATTTAGATAATCAAATAGCACATCTCAAGGAGAGACACAAATGTAAAACACGTAAGAGTATATAAATACACGTAGCTAGGGAAGCTTTTGAAGGTGAACCGGGATTAAAGCTATGAAATAAAGATTAGGCAGACAAACAGCATGTAGGGAGCGCTTTTGGAACTGAACTTTATAATGAAAATCAACATAGCAATGTGCCTAAATAAGGAAATTGTAATCGGTGTAATTACCTGCAATAATATATGGATCAGGAACATGCCTGTTGACATATTTTGTTAAATTCCATAGAGTCCTACTAGCAGGTAAAGTTTAGTCTAATTCCAACGGGACCGATTAAAGCCAATTGTATGAATCTCAATACAATTTTTTGCTGTAGCCATTTTCATTCATTAAACACATAATCGAAATCTCTTTTTTTTTAAATGTAGGCAAGTCGTTTTGATAAGTTGTGGTGCTTTCCAAATTAAGCCAATGCCTATATATCTGGGATATTAATAGCGTACATTGTGTCAAATGTATCGATTGACGGACATTATGGCTTCACGTAGAATCTTGATCACGTGTGTTGTGTGCGCGATTACGTATGAGTGCACGTGCACAGCTGTATGTGTACCCGTAGGTGTGTGCTGTACACATGTGAGTGAACAGACCACTGTGCGTATAGACGTGCGTGTGCATCTGCTAGGAGCGACACTCGCAGTATCATCCCCACCCTTTCACATTTACAAGGTTCCTCCACTCACAAGGTCAAAGATAACACCCATAAAACGATAACAGTGGGCAGCTGCAGACGGGACTGCTGCTCAGAGGCCTTGTGCGAGGATCTCTAGATGAAGAGCCATGAAAGGGAATGCGAGTTTCTGTGGTGTAGAGTGGAGGGGTGCTTCAGTTGGAGGAGAGAGGGAGAGAGAGAGAGAGAGGAGGCCCCTTGGTGGTCGAGTGGTCTCAATGTATTAGAGATCCCCGAGGTAGAGGAGAAGGCCTCCAGTTGGAGAGATCATTATTTTGGCAAAGAATAGGTTTCCTTAGTGAAGGGAAAATCATCTAGGTCGTCAGGGGTCGGAAATCTGCGGCTCTGGAGCCGCATGCGGCTCTTTAAGGACTGCTTTGTGACGTTATTTATAAAGGACCACTGTCTCATAATCACATGCATTGTGGCTCTTGAGATATTGAGATTCCTTTTTACTGAATTCGAAAAAAACGTCTCTTCTTGTTATTTTGGTTGCCGACCCCTGATTTAGATGAAGAGGAGTCTCTTAGGATGAGCAATAGGACCCCCGTGGAGGGGATACCCCTCTGGTGGAGGCGAGTTATTTGTGTTGGATGAAAGGTCTCTTAGCAGATAGGACGTCGTCTATATTGGAAAATGTGCCTTAAAATAACCAACAAAATTCCCATTAGGGTAGGAGGCTCTTCAAGGAAGATAGAACCCCTCAAAAAAGATAAGCAGCTTGTACGTTGTAGATACATACCCAGGCTGTGTATTACGAGACATTCGATACGGGTTCGATGCGCCATTATTGAGAGAGAATACATCTATAAATGATGATCAAGTGTGTCACTATGGCACTCGTGTGAAGTCAACGTGACGTCACTTCACAGCAGTTCCACGCTCCAATGTAGCGACGTCATTGTAGCATCATCGCAGAGCGCCCGACTGTGACGTTATATATTTTTTCATTTCTAATAACAAAGCTTTAAACTCGTGTCAGATGGCACGCAACCTAGGTTCGGACCTGCAAGATAAGTGCACCTGCCTTCAATTGGTTAGGGCCTCCAGAGTTGTAACGGAGACCCTCAGTTGGTGGCGGGGTGTGGGACAGTGGGGGGGGGGGGGCCTCTAGACGGAGCTGTGGACCCCCAGGCGACGGGCCCTGCGGGGCGGAGAGCTTGGGGCCCAGGAGGGGCCGCCCATGTAGGCCGCTTGGCGCGAGTACTGGAGCAGCAGCTCTGCTCTGGACAGACCCGGAGTCGGTCGCACGGCTTCCAGGCGGCGCAGTATGAGCTGTACACAACATGAACGAGGACATCAACGTCACTGTGAATTGTGCACCACTGTGTCCTCTCGATACAATAACTGTCCCCAGTGTTCTGTAGAGCTTCTTGAGATACGGTTGTATTAGAAGCCGTATGTAAATTAAAATTATTGTACTGTAACTGAAGGCTGAGGATGAAAATCACCACTTCTGCAACACCTAGAAGTTTAAAGTTACATTTAATATTTAATAAACTAATAACGTAAGCCTATTGTCAATCCACTGGTGGATAAAGACCTCCTCACGCTAAGTTGCTCTTCATAGGTCATATGAAATAAGAAGCCGTGGAGATAATTTTACTATACTTCACCATGCTGGTCAGTGTGAATTGGTGATGCGGGGAGAAGATAACCAGGTCAGATATCACTGTTCGCTGTAGTCGAGAATCGAACTCAAGCCACTTAGGTCATATTGAACCACAGTGCCACGGTCATGAATATAGGCGGCAAAAACACTGACAAATCCACTACCAACATAACCAACATCAACACAATTATCACGAGTACCATAACCACCGTTACTATCATCACCACCATTTACAATATGAACCCCACTATCAATGGAACCATAATGTCAATAGCACCAGTCACCACTATCAACAACACCGCCACCATAAACATTGTGAACTTTGACATCACCTGCAAGTCAGTATCAACACAACGATTTATAGCAGCACAATCACCATCACCACAAACACATTGCCTCCACCATTAATTGCCTGATTGCTCCATGTATTATAAGCAATAAAACTCAACATATTTATCTTCATAGCACATCACATAACACGTGCTATGACGAAGGCCCATTGCCCAAAACATCGCCAATTGCTGCACGTATTCATTTAATTTTAAAGCAGTGTTATTGATGAATGCGTTGAGTGTCCTTGTTTTTTGTACTTGTGCACCTCTGCAAAGGCAGCATCACAAAACAATCATATTTAATAAGTAGACACGTTTTCTTTTGTAATGATGATGATGTCCGTGAAAGTGCAAATGGTCATCTGGCTTACTCAAACGAATTGTTTTTAACAGTGCTGATGATGGTGGCGTTAATAATCGTGTGGATAATTACTTTTCCTGCATACAAATATAGGCCCAGTATTTGTGTGTATGCCAATGACCAAATCACCCGGAATGTGCCCTGTCTCTTCAGATCTCAGAAGCTAAGCAGACTTGAGCCTGGGTAGTGCTTGAATAGGTGGCCACTGCATGCCAGGCTCATTTTTGCAACTCGGGGCTGTGTTACATAGTGGCGAGTAGACAACACGCCTATGCCCCCTGCCTTCAACAACCCGCACTGACCTGCATAGTGAAGTACAGTCAAATAATCCCCACGATCCGCAATGAGGTCCTCTACCAGCAGTGGATGAACGGGCTGTACACGTCCGGTACATGTACGCGTGGCGCCACCATGTGGCGATAATTTTATGCGTTGGTGGCAATGCTGATGGTTATGGTGGTGGTGAATGTAATAGTGATGATGATGGTGTAGGTTGTACATCTGTCTGTGGCGTTTGGGTGAATGTAAAAGTTGTGTTCAGTAACTATATTGATGGTTGCATTCATGAGCAGAGTCGTCTCGTCCATGGTGTTGGTATTGGTGGTGACAGTCTTTATGGGTTGCGTATTCCTTTCATCTGTCTGCCAGTTCTTGGAAAACTAAGGGGTTCAGCCTGGTTAGCGCTGAGTGTTGTCGGACTGGGCAGCAAGGTGTATCACAATATATTCGTTAAAATGATCTGTATGGTGCTTTCACTGCTATCCCATCATATTTGAGGATTTTCTCTGGGTTCTTCATTTGACCGCTTGCATTGCTGCTTCATGGTCCGGTTTACCAGGTGGCATGTTAGTGGGCACGTTAGTAGGCATGTTAGTAGGCACGGTCTCTTATCCATAAAACAGGTTTTTTTGGGTTAGGTCCCGTAAATATACATGTGTCGTTAAACCTGCCAGCACCCTACACAGCCAATAAAGATAGTAAAATCTGCGTACTCTGATCGTAAATGTGGATTTTCTCCCCAACACACCAGTGTGCTGTACTAGTAACGAATTGACATGTTCTGTTTACGTGACAAACTTTACTAAATGGCTGTGTCGGGTGGTGGCGGGTTTAACGACACATTTATATTTTCGCAATCTAACCCAAAAAAACCTGTAATATGGATGACATTGGTCGCGAAAGCTTATGTGTTCAATGGTCTCTTATCTTAAGAAGATTATGTTTATAGTTTAGTTGGTGGTGTTGTTGTTGGTGGTGTTGATTGTGAAGGGGTTACTGATATTGGAAATTATATTAATGATGTTGATGCGGAGAGAGATGGTGATGATATTAATCATGCTGATTTTTGCATTTATGTTGTTGTGGTGTTGGTGGTGTTGATGGTGATGGGTATGATGGTGTGTATGGTGATGTCTCATCAGTTCTCACCATATTCTCTTCCTGAATTCTGCGAAGTGCCCTCTCCCGTGTCACAGCTGTGTGGTATGGTCTGCTGGGAACCATAACGACACTCCCACTTCCTAGTGGTACAGCCCACACAGACAAAAGGTACATTTTCCTGCTGTACTATACAAATGGAAAAATAAAGGAGGGTCGAGCATAATTTCGGGATCACATATGAATATCCGAGTCCTCCTCTAGGGTTTTGAAAGGACTGTGAGGCCTTCCCATAATAGTGCATGTGTGGTGGTGTAACTTAGAGCTACAATTTGTAAATGTTGTTGTCAGTTGAATTGTACTTCAAAAAGTCAACAGACAGATATCTATGGATTGTGTGCCTACATTAACACATCTCTTTAATCATGCAATCTAGTGGTGGTGAAGGATGTCAGACAAAACCCAGTGATGGCCCTTCTGGGAGAACCCGCAGCAGAGGGCTAACGAGATCCGACATTGATAAATCACGCTTCCTCTTTATGCCAACCTTATGAAGAAGCTTCACAGTATACGTCACTCCCCTGATTGATAGTTATATCGTTGGGAGCCGTACAATACCGATATACCCCTTACATGTGTGGCCTTGTACCTGCGTGGTTTCGCAATAATACCGTAATGATAAATGCAATTTCGCAAATCGGTCGCAATGTTTGATCGAGAACTCGGAGGCGCAGAGCGAGAGCCCAAAGTCCCTGACATGCCACCAGCCTGAACAGGTGAGCCTTGAGCTGCTGCTTAAAGGTTGACGCTGAATGGAATAGCCCCGTACTTGAGCAGACCCATACCTGAGTGTCCTTTTACTTGAATGGTCCCATATCCAGATGGACCCATTGCACTAATAGCCCCCTGTACCTGAGATGTTCTCTGCAAGGGCGGTCCAACAAGTTACAAGTAGGCGGTGGAGGTGGTACCTGACTCCATAGTGTGCAGAAATAATAAGTTGTGGTTATCTGTAAACTTTATGTAGGATAAAACAGCATCTTGCAATGAGAAGACACAGCAGCCAAGATGGTAGGAAGTTAAGAGACCTCACATTAACAGGCGATAACCTGGAGTTTGATTGACCGACTCAGCTTGCAAGCGTCTTTTTTAGCAGTTGTCAGTTGTTAATTTATATTCAACACTCGTTAATTAACATGCAATACGTTTTTGTGCTTCAAAAAAGTTTTAATTAACTTTATAGTCTACATTTTAACAAGATGTTTACGAAGCATATGTCATCTAAAAGATGCTCTTTTGTTATTTGTGTAAACAATCCATGGTACATTACACTTTCAATGTGCTATACAGTTTTTAAAGTTTAAATCGATTGGGTCATAATTCCTCTGTACATCAACCCCCATTGTAACCCATCAGGATTTTTATGAAGGGGATTCAGTCTATATGTTGAGTCTCCCTAGTCCAGGTGTCAGCAACCAAAAAAAGAAATCAGAGCCATTTTTTATCGAATTCGTAAAAAAACAACTCAATTTTTCAAGAACCGCAATGCACGTGAATACAAGATCGTGGTCCTTAATACGTAACGTCACAAAGCAGTCCTTAAAGAGCCGCATGCGGCTCCGTAGCCACAGATTGCTGACCCCTGCCCTAGTCTATTAGCGTATGGAGTCAGAATAAAAATAAATATTTATTCATATTGGAGGAATCCGATGAGCTATAAAGCTCTTGTATTCATAGATATCGAGTAGGGGCGGGTCAAAATGTTACAGAACGTTATGGGAAGGCAGACAGGGAAGGTGGGAGAAGGGAATGGGAAGGAGGTGGGGGGCCTTGGAAGAGAAAGTAGAATTCTCACATGGGGGTCATGAGGTGCTTTACCTATGGCCTTGTGCCTGCGTTGGGTCGCACCTGCACAGCCTCCATACCTGCACGGCGGACGGGCGGCGGGGGCAGTGGTGGCAGGGACAAGCGGCATAGGCGCTCAAGCAGTCGCTGGTTGTCGCGGTCGATTCTGCGCACCTGCTCCTCGCTGAACGAGTAGTTGGAGCGCAGTGGACGGCGCACGTTGCCGTAGGCACTCGCCCGCAGGACTGGCGACACGGGGACACAGCGAGCCCCGGTGAGCGGGGAGGGGCGGCACGAGAAGACATGGGAGAGGCACAGGGGGGCATTGAGGAACTACAGATGTTATTGGCAAACAGGGGGACAATGGAGGGTTAAGGGAGCTAAAGGGGTGATGTAAAGAGGAACACAATGGGGAATTTTGATTTAAAGCTTTCGTGACTGCAGTAATTCATATTCTTAGTTCTTTCGGTAAAGTCACGTTGAAGGGAAACAATAAAATAATAAAATATATATAAAACAATACAAATTCTCACGACGTTTCGACCATAACACAAACGGTCGTCATTAACACCTGATGACGACCGTTTGTGTTATGGTCGAAACGTCGTGATAATTTTTATTGTTTTATAAATATTTTATTATTTTATTGTTTCCCTTCAACGTGACTTTACCGAAAGAACAATGGGGAATGTTGGAAATACAGGGGCATCGTCAGCAGTCGTAGGGACACAACGCGGTGTAGAAGGGACGTTTAGGTGCGGTAAAGAAGACGTGTGATGAGGGGAGGCGAGTCTTGGCGCACTGTGATGTGACGAGGTGAGTGATGATAAAGTGCGGTGAGCTGCTGCGCTGAGTGGTGCAGAGGGGTTTGGTGAGATTCGGTGAGATTGAACGAGGCCATAAAAAGCACATCATTGGCAATGTTGGTGTATTGCTCCTGGTCACTGATGTTCTCTCACATCGTTGAGTTTACACGTGTGCATCTTAGCTGCGTGATTTTCTTCGATGCTTCGGACCATGTTTGTTGTTCACTGTTTTTGCCACATTAATCGCAGTTTGATTTCGTTTTGAAGCTACTTTAATAACGTTTCAGTTGTGTGGCACTTTGTGACCTTACGTGTCATCAGCATTATCGTCAGTATGTTTAAATTGCAAACATTACGATGGTGGTGAGGTGTAGTGAAGTGTGGTGAGGCACGGTGAAGTGTAATGAGGCATGGTGAAGTGTGGTGAGGCGTGGTGAAGTGTGGTGAGGTGTGCTGAGGCAAGGTGAGGTGTGGTGAGGCACGGTGAGGTGTGGTGAGGCAAGGTGAGGTGTGGTGAGGCATGGTGAGGTGTGGTGAGGCACGGTGAGGTGTGGTGAGGTGTGGTGAGGTGTGGTGAGGCACGGTGAGGTGTGGTGAGACACTGTAAAGTGTGGTAAGGTAAGGTGTAACAAGGTGAGGTGCGGTGAGGCAAGGTGAGGCGCGGTGAGGTGTGGTGAGGTTAGGTGTGGTGAGACACTGTGAAGCACGCTGAGGTGTGGTGAGGTTAGGTGTGGTGAGACACGGTGAAGCGTGGTGAGCCACGATGAGGCAAGGTGAGATCCACTCACCTCGGCTGGTGGCCGAGCTGCCCTCTCCAGGTGCCCGCCGAGTCTTGGGCCGTGTCTCCATAGCAACTACGGCCTTGAGCAGGTGGTTGAGATCCTCAGCCTCGCTAAGCACGCGCGAGCTGCGGTACCCACCACCCGACTGGCCCTTGGTAAATAATTAGTCAAACATCACGCAATTAGTCCACCACTCCTCAATTAGTCAATCGCCACAAGATGAATCACTCCTATGTTGAGTGATGTGGTGCTTATGGGAGAAAACACGTGTCCCTCGACAAACCCATGCACACACTCAAAACTCACTACGGATAGGTCTGAAAAATGATCTATACTGGCTCCGAATAGCACCGCATTATTCGAGAGGTTCGTGTCTCACGAGGATGACGACTCCATCTGCATAATCCACCAACCCCTGTTTCCAGGTCATTTGATTTTCATTGGATAAAATTTCAGAGTGTACACCAACATACCGTACTGGATAAACAAACCCTTTATAATGACTGATTTCCTGTTCGACTTACTACGACAGATCGTATTGCATTTGCCAAATGAGCAATTTTGAATCAGCTCCGATTGCACCTACTCACGTGATTTAGATCGGTACCATAATGTGACTCAAAACCAATCTCCTCTGGGTTTCCACAGAGCCAATCCTGGTTGGCCATTTGAACATATCCTGATCAATTGTGATTGGGTTTTAATGTATTGCATAACAATCTACTGTGAAATACTTTTAGGCTTAAATAATATAACAACAGAAAATCCACGTCTTTTTCGAAGTAACACAACGTTAAGCAAAAAATACTTGCTAAATCTTCATGTTTTTTTTCAGGAGTGTCCGACATTAAGATGTTTGGCCAATTCCATTACATTTGTTGCTTTGTGTAGGATACCAGATTACCCAGAAAAACCCACACGTATGTACAAAGTTCCAACACATATAAAGTTATGAAGGGCTGTTTATTAAGCCTATCAAACATATACAGCATCTGTCTTCGGAGTCACCAATCGCTTAAACCCTTTTATGTCGCCTTCTTCCATTCAAACCGTCGTCACCCTACAGCTGATCTCACCCGCATTATTCATTTCCCCCGCCAGTGGTCAGCCGGGGTGAAACCAACCAATAGGCGTGCGTGCTCCTAGCCCTGCCCCCTTTTGCTGGCGAGAACCAATCAGGGGGACCCGAGGTGAGCTTTTAAATTTTACACATACGAGGAGTTACATACATACAAACATACACGTTTCTTACAAATGGGTTTATGAATCCACCTGCATACTGAATTCTGATGGCCACCATACCGTTGAGTGCATTCGGGAGTCTTGCACCCTACGATTAGCACGGTTGGCTACGTATAAATAAATGAAATACTGAAAGTAGGGTGCAAATTAAGTTCAACATAAATACAAAGCCCATATGATCCACCGGGACTTTCCTCTGAACTGCTGATTTACAGACGTGTGTCATGGCTCCATTATACCGTGAAAGATTCCGTTCATACATCTAATTGTGACTGCTGAAGCCTCTCTTCTACGAGTAAATAACAGCATGAATGGATTTGTGAATCCAATCTTGACTTGTGCAGGTGCTATTGATCTGATTGCGAAACAATATATATTTTTTTATAAATGATTCGCAAATCGAATGTGATCCTGCAGCTATTTAAAAAACATCCAACAAGGTCAGATCGTAAAAATTGAATCAAATCTGCCGATCAGGACGACATCACGTGATATCGATCGCGCCTCTTTCGAATCATCCCACGTACGCATTTTGAACCTCTTTCACACCGTACATAGTCAACCGTGCTAATCGGAGGTGCGGTGGGAAAAACAACAAACTAATTCAGATATATTCTGCAAAAAACAGATCAATCTGATTCATAATTGAACGGGACTATAGGTATACCTTGAACGATTACTCTTAAACAGGTAGTACCAATGCTCACCTCCACACCGGATGAGAGAGGTGACAGAGTGGACGAAGAGGAGATGGCCGAAGAGGATGACTGCTTTGCCGTTTTCACCGGTTTTGCCTGCAGGCAGTCGCTCCGGTTAACACAAATGCTGCTTTGACATTCATTTAGTGACAATGGCGTGGACATAGCCAGTAAACCTATTTAAACATGTTCCTGACAGTGTAGCAGAAATATATTGTACTCACCCCATTTACTGGCTATTTCTGCTGAAAGCGAAACTGTTACACAGTTGACAAGTATGTTGGCCAGGCCACATAACACTGATCATAAAAAATAAGGGTAAAACTGTAATATGGATGTAATGTATGGTAGCACTGCTGTACTACAATGACAGCTGCACTACATTGAGAGTGAAACTAATTGCCTACTTCCTTTACTACCACAATGTCTCTGCAAAGGCAACATTCTCAGCTTTTTTAAATCTGGTGACTAAGAAAGGAGCTGCTACGCACATATTGTACATTAATACCTCTGCTAGGCTTGAAAGTCATTATGAGTCTCTCCCATAATTTTTGCGCCTCCGATTGGCACGGTTGGTTATGTACGGTGCAAAAGAATTTCAACATCCATACATACATAATTCTGGGCGGCCGAGAGAGTTTTTACAACAGCGTGCACTATTTTATCAGTCACGGGGCTCCGAACGTATGCTTACTCATTAATTATCCTAACATAAATTTTAAAACAAGCCCTACCTTTTTTTCTGCCAAAGGGTAATGCCTAACCAACCAATCCCTGACGACACCCTACAGAGATGAACACCGCACCGTGTCATGTGTCTGGATGGTCGGAGGGGCAGCGAAGAGTGTGGTGTTTTTTTTTTACCGTAGAGCAGATTGCAGGAGCCTGCCAAATGTCTGCCTTCCTGTCTTGTTTCTTGGATGCTTTCGCCTGCCGCGGCGATCGTGGGCCACCATCTAGGCTGTCGGATGTCGACTTCACGACTGGGCTCGGCTTCCTGAGACCCTGCGCCTTCCCCGCCACCGTGTGGTCCTCCTCGTCGGAGCTAGAACTGTCGTTCTTGACGCTGGCACGAGCCCTGGTTCCGTGCTCTTCACGGCTCTGCGAGGCCTGGCTTCGAGCTCTAGACCCTGTGCTCTTTTTGGATTTCGCGCTGGTCCGTGACGCGATACTCTTCTTGGACGCGGTGCTGCTTCTGGACTTGACGGTGTCGCTGGACGAATCTCTGTAGGATCTGGCACTGCCCTGGGAACTGCTCCGACCCCTTGACCTTGCGCCATCTGGTGAATTCGCATGATCCGGAGGCTTCCCGTGGTTCGCTGACTGCGCACGAAACGGCGACTGAGCTCCGCGTTCTGATTTGGTTTCACTTTCCAATTTCCCATCGCTTTCCGACTTGGCGTCATCTTCCATTTTGTTTTCTGATTTCACATCATCTTCAATTTTGGCACCATTTTGAGCTGTTCTGCCATCTATCGATTTTCTGTCTTCCGCGGAACTGTCCTCGTCACTGCTGCTGCAGCTCGTGCTGCTTTCTCTGCTCCTGTTGCTCTCGTGGCTCTCCGATTCCGCGCGTGGAGTCGTCTCAATATCGTCACCCTCCTCCTTGTGGCCCCCGGTTTCCGAGGTGTCCTCTCCACTAGCAGTATCGAGTTTCGCATCCTTTGCTGGCTCCGCAGCCCGTACCCTTGGGGACGCCCCACCTTCCGCATCCTCATCCACGCTATCACTGTCACTCTTGTAGCCAAAAGTCACTTGTCTCACCTGGAGGGAGGTAATTAGTGTCCAGTTAATTACGCTGGCTCTCAGTCTCTACACTGTATTTACAGATTTTGGCTTTATCAGGGTCAAATCTGTAAATGATGATAAAACCCATCATAACAGAATCATAACCAGGGGTCATAGGTACGGAGCCATGATGAGACATATGTCTGGTCTGGATAAATTCCCCTGAGCTTAATTCACAACAACAGTAGTGATGTAGTGATTACTGAATTTAATTATTGGTGAATTTTAGAATCATAAATGCGTACTTTAATCCTAAAATAATCAAATAACACTAAATACTATACAAGGGCAGTTATGTGTATATGGATAAATGCAAAATTGTCGATCAACTTTGCCAAAGATGAAACAGGGCCTTAGGTATTAATAATATATCCTAATAATCCTTTATAAATCAGTCTGGCTCTCCAAGTCTTGACGATTAACACAGATGCATACGATCTGAGCCTTGAGCACTGCCACAGATCCATATGAACAGTAAGGCATGCCTTTGGTTCTAAACCCCAATGATGCATCTTAAAGGTGGCTGTATGAGCCACAGGGTTAAACACTTGCTCCCAAAATATCCTTCGTCTCAATTATTACTTGAATATCTATAGTGCCTCAACACTACGAAAAATGATCTGAGGATACCAGAGAGGGCAACATATGAACACAAACAGCATAAACAGCCAATATATATATTAAAAATGCCCGACGTAAATATGTCAATTAAACAACAGCAGAAAGACAACACAGCCACATACACGCTGTCTCAACCACAACAGCACGCAGAGGGTGAATTACACTGCAGCGCGTAATGCATAGCTTGATGCCAACGTCGTCTCTATGCAACCAAGGAAGATACCTCTTGTCTCAATGGACTCTTGACCCAGTCAAACAAGCCAACAATTGCCTACGTGTGTAGTCCGTGGCTATTATAACGTGCGAGGCAGTCTGGCCCTCCGCGCAAAGAGTTCAGAGCGTGTGTGTACACAGATGAACAACGTATCCACTGCTGGGTGAGGGACTCAACCATACTTTGTTTTGTGGGTCGTGGATTATTTTGACTACGAGAATTTCGGCGGCCTATGACCGCCTCATTCTAACTCTTGCGGAGGGCTTCTCAGCGTTCCGCACCTCGCCCCCACTGATGCCCTCCTCTCCCCCCTGACCAATGTGTGCGAATACTACTGACTCTATTGTATGTAGGGTGTGTAGGCATTTATGCCTAGAAAATACATTTATTTTTTGGGGGGGGGAGTGAAAAAATTGGGAGGGGGGTCGACAATTTTTATGGACCCCCCAACATCTCGGCGGGGGGGTCCACTTTCTATAACTTTTTGACTCAGGCCTTCTGAAATGCTATTTTAATTTATTTGACGGACAAAGGGAACACCAGGCTTTTATAATATATATAAGCAGGTCCTCGACTTAGGAACGCACGTACTTCATTCACTAAACTGGCCAGTGCTGGCTGCCTTTGATGAAGGTGAGAAACATCGAGGCGAAAGACGCCCAGTACAGAAAACGTATTGGGCTACACTGCCCTCTGCTGACCACCCTGAAGCCCAGCAGCAGCCTCGGAACAAACAACCTGTTGGCCCATATTCTTTGGTTCTTTCGGTAAAGTCACGTAGATATAAAAAAATAAAAGTAAATAAAAAAATGACGTTTCGAAACGTCGTAATTTTTTTCAAATAAAAGTAAATAAAAAATAACGACGTTTCGAAACGTCGTTGTAATTTTATTACTTACTTTTAGTTTATTTTTTCTATCTACGTGACTTTACCGAAAGAACCAAAGAATATGAAATCCTAAAGTCACGAAAGTTTTAAGTCAAAAATCTGTTGGTGCATGTTGGGTCTCCTCCCATCATCCTAGCATTATCCGGGCTCAAGCCTGCTTAGCTTCCAAGATCTGACGAGGTCGGGGCGCATTCGGGATGATGTGTTTCACAGACAATTGGCATCGTAATTTACACAAGCACAATTGTCAAACACACACACAAAGACCCCCACCATATAGCCTGAACCAACAAGCTACACGAGGGGCGGAGGTGGGGGGTGACCAGCCTCACGCCCGGTCGCCTTTGTCTCCCCAGGCACTAATGTTTATACACACTGCACCGAGTAATCATTTGAGGCTGAGTCGACCTAGGAGAGTTCCGGTTCAGATCATCGTCACTGGCGTTGGCCGTGAGTGCCCACAGACGCACACAGCTGGACACGCACCGACGACAGCGCACGGTGTGAACTCACTGGCACAGGCGTGTGGCCTCCAACGTGGTTCTCAGCCCTCGGGGTCCCAGTCCCTTGTTGGTCCCTTGGGGTCTCCGGCTCCTTGGTCCCAGGCCCCCTGCTCCCCGCCTCCGAGTCACTGCTGAAGAACGTGTGATCCACCTCCCCACGCAGGCTGCTGTCGCTCTCCATCCCGATGCAGCTGTTGCTTCCCTGCTGTCTCCCTTACTGCTGCCTTAATGCCGCTGCGACTGATGTTGATGTTGTTGTCTGTGATTGCTTGCTACAGGCGCTGCTGCGTCTACAACTACCGGCTGCTGTTGATGCAAATTATGCGGCTGTATTCCACTGCTGCTACAGCTTAATGCTGCTGCTGGTAGAGCTCCTGCTGCAACTGTTGTTTCACTGCCGCCTCTACTTGATCCTCCTGCTAATGCTGATACAGATAATGATGTTGTTGCTGCTGCTGCAGTACACCTAATGCTGCTGCTATTAATACCCCTCGTGACGTCTCTCTCTCTCTGTTGTCACAGTTACTGGGGACTCAGTGCTTGGTGGCACAGTGACCGCTGCCCATTAATCTCGCTGATGCAGCGATTGCTGCTGCTGCTGCTGATACAGCTACTGCCCTCTCTCACTGCGGCTGGCGCCAGCCACAGATGTCTCAACGCTGCTGCTGCTGTTGATTTGTGCACCACAGCGACCGCTGCGTCTTACCGCTGCCGCCTCTCCAAATCTCTTTTCGCGCTCGCCGCTGGCCCTGTCAGCAGCGGACAACTTCGCCGCCCGCTTTCGGAATATCGTCGCCGTCACCGCCGTTCCTTATCGACCAGGGGCACTAACGGCATCCAGCTGCCGCCGCTCGCCGCTCCCCTTGCTGTCACTGCCGCAGGTTGGCGGGGAGGGGAGGGGTGGGGTGGGGGGATAACTCCGTGGCGTATCGATTTCGTACGGAGGACCGAGAGTGGCTTCTTCAGACAGCCGCCAGCCAGCCGACTCGTCGTCGAGTGCCGGCGGGGTCGTGATTTTGCGTTGCCTGGGGCGACCGCCGCGCCGGAAGCGACGCCGCGCGCGCGCACGTGGCGCGACGTCACGTGCCGACGAGGAATCGCGGATCGATCGCCCCGGGGAGCTTGTGGAACGTGGCACGTGTCCGAACCTCGTTGTCGATGCCGGCGGTGGAAATTCCACGTTCTTATGGCTTACAGCGCGGGGGGTGGTGTTTTCATTGGAAGCTAGCAATTTTTTTTTTTACCCGTGGCACGCACGGCAGGATAGGGGTGCTGGAAATGAGACGTTCTTACGGCTTACAGCGAGCGTAAGGTGGTGTTTGATTGCCAACTAGCAATTTTATATATTTAGTTTTTTACCCGTGGCACACACGACGGGATAGGGCAGCACTAGAGTCGAGGATATAATATAATGGGGGAAAAATGAAAAGGGACGAGAGAAGAGAAAGAATTGGCGGTGGTAACTCCGCACTTGGCCTGTCATTCAGAACTGTGGAGGTGAAGGTTGTTAGATCACGCAAATGTTGTGAAACTCCTGTGCGCGGTTCGAGGAGGGGTCCATATACCCTGGCGGCCAGGCTTGCCAGGAGAAGGCAATACGGCAAATATTGACGAACAATAAATCGCTTCTGTTCTTGGATAGAATGTTGCCCCATTGTACGCGTGGATTTTCTCCCACGTGTATACACCTCTTAATTGTGTGATAATTTTATATATCGAGGACTATAGAGCTTGGGAGGGAGATTTGTCGCAGGCTCACCACGTGGTTGCCTTTACCGCTGGTCTGTTGGTTCCTCGCTCCTCTTGAGTAGCGGTCTCCCTCTCTTGATGAATGCGCGGGTTACAAGTCGAATTTATGATTGTTAATTTACAGAAGGATTTAAAGGGAACGTAAAACGGGAACAAAGAGTCAGGAAAGATTAGGTATTGGGAGGAAGAGGCAAGTGCAGGGCCTCTGTGCTGCTACATGTAGCAGCGTCTGTTTTCACAAGGGGCGGGGAGAAGGGAGGGATTCAGAGTGGGGATTGGCCACACAAAAGTCAGGGGATTTACGGGAGGTTTTAGCTTCTTTCGTATTGCTACTGATGTAGATTCAGAGCAGCAACTACAATTTCACACTGAGATGATGTCTCCTTCATATTTATGGATCGGGAGCATTGCGTTGTTACATGTTGTACCGTATGTTAGTCTGTTATGGATGACCACAGTCGCACACTACTGGAGAGTAGATTTGAGCTACAATGATCCATATTTGTTTTTGGGTTAGGCCACAAGGTGGTCGTTTTATGCCGCAGTTGTCATAAACCCTCCACCGCCCGACAATATTGTCACGTTTACAAATACTGTAGGTGATTTACGCGTGGCAATGTATTGATCACTTCGCGCAAGAAGGGCACACAAGTGGCGTCATCACATCTCTCCCTCTATTTAAGGAACGCAGCAGGAGGATTCCTCCACAAATCTGGCTGTTGCCTGATGAAGCTAGTTGTGATTACTGGCGAAACATCATACTCAGATTGTAAACGTTGTGGCTTTGCTGTCCAATACACAAGTGTGCTGCACTAGTAACGAATTGGCATATTCTGGGTTTAACGATTTAACCCCAAAAACCTGGATTATGTATTGATTGAATTCCGACCAATAAAGTTCCTCACCGGTGGATTCCCAGTAAACATGCCAGACGTTGGGCCAACGTTGGCATGTGGTTAGAACCGTTGGATCATTGTTGGCCCAACGTTCCATGTTTACTGGGTTAAAACCTTGCAAAGATCGCATTCATTATCGACATACGACGATTTCGCTCAAACTTCCCTGAGCGTCATGATGTAATGAACTCAAAAGTCGCGTGTGCGATTAATGAAAATAATTTTGGCGTTAAATTATCACGTGGCCTACCACCCAGTAAAATATATGGAGCACGTTCAGTGGTGATTGAGCGCGTGCAGTGGTTAAATTGATTATTTTAAAATGTTTTAAATATATTACTAAGGTGATTTCCTGCTCAAAAGAGCATTGAGGGTGGCACTGATTTCCTGTTTAAAGTTCAAGTTTCATTTATTAGGTATAGCCCTGTGAGCCATGCGGCTCTTAAGTCGGGTGCAACTGCAACAAACACAAACATGAACACAGAACATCCCAAAGCGACGACGCGCAACAGAAACATCCTGGAATAAACCAGCAAATATTCCACACGAAAAAAAACTTATTAAAACGCTGTGTGCAAAAATCACAATGTGGTGCAAGCCAACAACAACAACCATAAGACAATTTAGATTAACCATATGTTTTCGAATCACCAAAATAAAGCTGTAAAAACAATGTAACAACAGTAATCATAGGAACTGTGAATTTAAATTTAACAATAAACGATATACATAACACGTACGACAAAAAAACTGCAGCCATAGCTGGCAGCACGACACTCCCAGTGTATGATGTGAGTGAGTCAGCAGCAGCGTGAGTGAGCGTATGATGTGCGAGTCAGCGTATGAAGAGTGAGTTAGTGAATGATGTGTGAGCGAGTGTATGATGTGTGAGCGAGTCAGTGGCAGTGTGAGTGAGGGTATGATGTGTGAGTCAGCGTATGATGTGCGAGTCAGCGTATGAAGAGAGAGTAAGTGAATGATGTGTGAGCGAGTGTATGATGTGTGAGCGAGTCAGTGGCAGTGTGAGTGAGGGTATGATGTGTTAGTCAGCGCATGATGAGTGAGTCAGTGTATGATGTGCGAGTGAGCCAGCAAACAATGAGTGAACCTGTGTATGATGAGTGAATGGGTCAGTGGTTGTGCGAGTGTATGATGTGTGAGTGAGTAAGCGCATGATGAGCGAGTCAGTGCATAATGTGTGAGTGAGTCAGTGTATGATGTGTGAGTCAGTGTATGATGTGTGAGTGAGTCAGTGCATGATGTGTGAGTGAGTCAGTGCATGGTGTGAGTCAGTGTATGATGTGTGAGTGAGTCAGTGTATGATGTGTGAGTGAGTCAGTGTATGATGTGTGAGTGAGTCAGTGTATGATGTGTGAGTGAGTCAGTGTATGATGTGTGAGTGAGTCAGTGTATGATGTGTGAGTGAGTCAGTGTATGATGTGTGAGTGAGTCAGTGTCGGCTCCCTCTGCTTGCGCCGTCGCCCCGCCCCCCCCCTGACTCCGTCGCCCCCCCCCCGGCTCCATCGCCCCCCCGCTGGCTCCGTCGGCCCCTCCCGGGCTCCGTCGCCCCCACCCCAGCTCCGTCGGCCCCCCCTCCAGCTCTGTCACCCCCCCCCCCAGCTCCGTCGCCCCCCCAGCTCCGTCGGCCCCCCCCCCTGGCTCCGTCGCCCCTCCCTGGCTCCGTTGGCCCCGCCCCCACCTCCGTCGGCCCCCCCCCCCTGGCTCCGTCGGCCCCGCCCCCACCTCCGTCGCCCCCCCCCCCTGGCTCCGTCGGCCCCCCCCGGCTCCGTCGGCACCCCCCCCGACTCCGTTGGCCCCCTCTGGCTCCGTCGCCCCCCCCCCCAGCTCCGTCGCCCCCCACCCAGCTCCGTCGGCCCCCCCCGGCTCCGTCGCCCCCCCCCCGACTCCGTCGCCCCCCCCAACTCCGTCGGCCCCCCCGGCCCCCCCGGTTCCGTCGGCCCCCTCACAAACGGCCCCGCCAGCCGCTGCTGGCCGCACGCGACTCAGGCGGCCATCTTGCGGGCTGCGCGGGCCTCTCGGCCGTGAAGCTGGCGAGGAATCCCGTGCCGGTGTTCTCGCCGTCCTGAGCCAATGGTGGAAATTCCACATTCATGTGGCTGGGGGCGATTTCCTCCATATGACAACACTAACGCGCAGGCAAATAATTTTAGCGCTGTTTTTTTTATTTCCCAAGTTTTTGCCAAAACCTTTGTCCAAGAAACGTTATAGTGGATCGTCTCTATGAGATTAACCGTGCACCGTTTTATACAGGTCAGAGCTAATGCATAACTGCTTTCAACCTGAGTTGAGATGGTGCTTTGGGTGGCAGATGTGTGCCAGAAAAGCGCCACATGTGTAAGCAAAAATAAAATTTATTTGACTTGGAAAGTATTAAAAGGGGAACGCTCTTGGACAATAATGAATATTTGTGGGCATCATCAAAGAAGTGGGGATGGGCTGTTGGAACTAGATACAGCAGGCACTATATCAAATCTAAAATAAGGTTAAGACTCTGGATCATAGCAATTCGCAGAATACACAAAATAAACTATATGAGGTTATATATTTGAAGCAGCATAAGGAAATCAAGGTGTTTTACGAGTAAGGTTATTCCACCTAACTCCCACAGTTATTTCAATTGTCAGCATTAAATGAGGCAATAACAGTGCTTCGTATAATTAATAGTTTATTTTATTTGACCACGTCAGACAAATGCAAAAGAGACCAGAGAATCCTCATTTGCGAGAATGACCTGGGTTATTACAATTACTAAAAACATTTTAAACACAAAAAACACATTCAGGTAAATAAAACAAAATCAGAACAAAACTACTGCATTGCACAATGATGCAATACTGTGCAGTTCATATATTTAGTATTGATTCAATACAATCTTCTGTAAAATACGATGACTTGGACAAAATACTCTTTGAACCATTCATTCATAGTAAAATTACATTCGAGAAACCATTATGCATAATTGGAGTAAATAATTGCAGTATTTAGGTGAAGAGGGTACAATTGATACAATTGTCCGTGAAGTCATCCCGTAAGCATGAACGCCAGCGTTGCATATAACTTGTGCTTCAATTAAAAGCACTTAAAACAAACCGAATTTCCTTAAAGGACAATCTTAAGAGGGGTGTTCACCCGAGGCGACCTTGTGAAATTTGGTCGCCGCTGATGTATTCTGGCATTTTCGAAGGTTGCAGCGCCCCCGTCTGTTCTACGAAATGTGAATGGCCGTTACCATAGCTACACAAGTTTATAAGTGCACGCCTGTTGAACTGTTTGTTAACCTTACTCTCCTGGATTATAAGACGCACGCTCCGGAAAGTAAGACGCACCCAAACAAAAGCTTGTGCCCGGTGTCGATAAAGTTAAACAGATCTGGCCTCATGTACTTGTAGATCTAACCGG